TTTAAATCTCTGAACATGAAAATGTTAGAAACTGATTTTATTCTTTTTAGAACAATAGTAGGCTAAACCAAACATGGTTTTAAGATAATTTGTCCAAGGGACCCCAAGTAACTTCTGCTTTACAGAGAGGTAATTTTTAATTAATACAAGTGGCTGAACATCAGATGGGCTTCTCACCCCAAGGAGAGCATATTCACCAAGCCATGACTTTTTCATTTATTCACTCATTTATTCAACAGCATTTGCTGAGGTCCCATTACGTCCCTCAGGCCCTGGGCTTAGGGCTTCTGGCACAGTTGAGCGGTATTCATTCTGACATTTACAGGCTTGTCACTGACTTTTCAGGTTGTCGTAGGGAGCAATGACATCTGTAAAAAGGCTTTGTAAATATAACCTGGTACACGAATGTGAAGCATTTTTGTTTGCTACTTCCTATGTGCAAAATCGAGCTGGTGGTTGACAGAGCATATTGGGAAATGTTGGAAAAACAGAAATACTTCAGGTTTCAAGGCTTAAGGACATGTGCTAAAGCAGTGCCATTTTGTCTACCTTTAGACCTTGTTGAAAACTGTAGGAGAGGTTCTTCTGCTGCCCAGTTGGACTGATATGTCAGAGGTAAGAGAAAAGAACATTTNGCAAAATCGAGCTGGTGGTTGACAGAGCATATTGGGAAATGTTGGAAAAACAGAAATACTTGAGGTTTCAAGGCTTAAGGACATGTGCTAAAGCAGTGCCATTTTGTCTACCTTTAGACCTTGTTGAAAACTGTGGGAGAGGTTCTTCTGCTGCCCAGTTGGACTGATATGTCAGAGGTAAGAGAAAAGAACATTTTGTTCTTCAAAATGTATGTACCTTGTGAACCACTTAGTCTTCCTAGAGATGGCATAATATGGCCAATTCCCATATGTCAAAGGAATGATGCATCTCTCAGCCCAGGTGTTTGGGATATTAGAGCTCATTTTGACGATGTGCAACTACTTCAAAATGCCTTGTCTTGTCTATGGCCCAAGAACTGTGTGAGCATCTGTAACATGTTATGGTCTTCAACACTGAAGAAGGAAATGGTTAGGTTTTTCATGACGAACGAAAAACCTTTGTTTATCATTTCACATAATGTGTTTTTTTAGTATCACATAATTCTTGAGTGGTAATGAAAAACATGTTAGATGTTTAAAAATCACTAGATTAAGTTAAAAACAGTAGAATGCAGGACACTATGTAGTTCACGATTAAAGTGTAACAAACAAGTTTGTCTTGTTCTCTGTACTCAAAATAATTAGTAAGGAGAATGCAATAATTTTTGTTTTATTTCTATAAACAACTCTATTGATTTTACTTCCTCAAAAAATAAAGCAAGTAAGTAAATAGTTATGGCGACATGAGAAAATGCAGATAATAAAAAATATGTGAAATAAAAATCACTTGAAATCCTAAGTCTGAGAGATAACGATTGTTAACACTCTTGTATATATATCCTGTAATCTAGTTTTCAATTCACTGTGTACATATATATTCTACAGACATATTGTATATCCAGTTTGACCTGTTTTTCCTTAATCATGTCATGAACATTCTCCAACAATAGTAAGTATTCTTCTACAATGCTCAGTAGTCAGGACAGGCTAGGCTATGCTGCAGTAAGAAATAGACCCCCACATCTCAGTGGCTTAGCACAGCAGAAATTCACTTCTCACTCATGCAAAGTCCAGTGTGGGGCAGAGGAGCCTCTTCTCCACCTGGTGGCTTGGGGATCCTGGCTTTTTCCATCTTCCTATGTTGCCTTCTTAGCATGTGGCTTCCAAGGTTGCCAGGCAGGGGTGGAGGCCGTCTTGGCCCAGACGGCCCACAACCACACCAGCATAAAGTGCTCATTTTCCTGAATGCATATAATATTTAAGAATGTTTGCCAGTGTGAGAGGCAGAAGTAACATCTGGTCCTTATGGATAAGATGGCACTAGGGCTTACACCTGATGAACTTCCTACTTGAAAAATTTCAAATGGAATGAGATTGGGTTTGATGTTGGCAGAGGGAGGAAAAAGGGTCAGGAATGTAAAACTGATACGAAAACTGTCACACCTAGAAACAAATTATTTTTTAAAAAGCACAACCCTCCAGAGTTCATGACCTCAAGGGGAACTTTGTGCCCGAGGCTGTAGCCTGAGAAGCATCTCGAGGCCGGCTGGTGGGGGCCCCAAGCAGACGTGTTTTCTGCATCATTTCAAACAAACTTTTTCTGAAGGCAGAATATGCT